AGAGAGAGAGAGAGAGAGAGAGAGAGAGAGAGAGAGAGAGAGACAGAGAGATTACACACTGCCATGGGGTAAGGAACAAGACAGAAGCAGGATGGGAAGGAAGTAGGAGGATTCTAGGATGTAGCAGAAATGGAACAGCCCTTCCCCAGCTCACAGCCCCCCAGGGAAGCCAGCAGGCCAGGCCCACCCTTCCTGCCAAACAGCCTTGATCGGCCCTGTCCACCAGGGACCCAAGCTGGCTGCCTTCCAGCAGCAGAAGTCTCCCCAGGGTGCTCCTACAGACTCACTCTGTCCCATGGGTCCAGGCCACAGGATTGTGTGTTAATGTAATTGTGTGACATCGTGAGATGACACAGATCTGTGAGTTGCTAGGTCAGGAGATAATGCATGTAAGTACTGGCTCGGCCCGTTTTCCACACAGCACATTCCCATGGCACAGTGACACTATCTTGGTTCATGTGGAACTTGAATTAGGTCACGTTCACCTGGTCACCAGCCAAGGCAGGGCAGTTCCTGGATGATCAAATGATCAGGCTCTTCCCAGGACATCTTGACCTTTACTGAAGTGCCCGCATCCCTAGGGAAACCTTTCATAAGCTCTATGTCACTTCCAGAGAAGGAAATTGCTCATTCGCACGCCACATTCTGCACGTATTTGCACACAGTCACACTCTTGCACAGGCCATAGGTCCCAGGTTAGAAGGGACCCCTGGAGTGCCTCACCTTTTAGGTGACTCCAAGGCACAGACTTTGAGAACAGGCCCAAAGGAGAGTTCTTTCAGCTTTGTTTAGCTCACCTCCTCTGGGCGGCTGGAAGCCCAGGGCGCCAAACACCCTGGTCACGGTGCCTGCACTCAGGTTAGAGCTGGTGCCTCTTCTCTAAGGGTGTCCCTGTCTGCCCAGCTGCAGGAGTAGGGAGGCCATGAGCAGGGTCTGCATGCACAGCCCCATGTTGATGCCTCTCCCTCGGCTGCTGCCTCCCCAGCCTTCGCCACGGCCTTGAAGAGCCTCTACATAAGCGAAGCAGAGATAAACGCGGACGACGCAGTGGCGGTGCTGGCTTCCGCTAACATCCTCCAGTTCAGCGGCCTATTTCAGAAGTAAGGAGGCAGGTGGGGCCAAGCTAGCATGGGCAGAACTAGAAGGATGCTGCCTGGCTCATTTCATGGAAATTCCTCTTCCTTGGGTTAGGACACTTTGGGTTCCTTTGTGCCAAGTGTGGCTTTGAACTTGGAAAGGAACGAGGCACTAACTCACACTAATATAATTGGCACTCATAATAGAGCTAGATCATTCTCCAGAGCCTTTGCAGGCTCATTTTGCCCAAGCCATCAAAGCTTTCAGGAAAGAGTGCTCAGTGCAATTCTACGGTCCTGATTCCTGATGCAAGTCAGTATAGACAGGGCACTTGGGGCAGCAAGGGCCTCTGTCTCATTCTATTTCCTTTAGTCTCCGATTTTTCATTTGAGTGAGTGAATAAATGTCCCATTCAGGCCAAAAGAGGGCATCAGCTACTCTGTGGAGGGCCGAGGCAGGAACTGTCTGGGGACTGTGCAGGATGTAATTCCCTTTTGGTAGGGTTCACATAGCTAGGTTCAACCCTGCAAATACATCTGAGCCAGTGCTTCATTCTGGGGGCACTTGGGGTGACTCAGGCAGACCACTGACCCTGAGCTTCCTGCTTGCTGGAGAGGCAGACCCAGTGAGCTGAGGGCTGCAGGTGCTCAGAGACCTAGATCCATTTGCGTAGGACACACAGAGAGTGGTCCAGAGTCTTGCAAAGGTCCCTCAGCATGGCCGCACCGTCAGAGCTGTAAGGCTGGCTGGCTGCACAAAATGGGGCTAAGCAGTTGTAGGCAGGGCCAGCTTGTGTAGGGTCTCGGAGCCATCAAAGGAACCTGGCCCTCTAAGGTGATCGAGAGAAAGGTCTGCGTTTTCTGAGATTCCCCTGTGCCCTTTCTGCTGTGTACTCCACCCGTCTGCAGCTCAGCATAGCCCTGTGGCTTATAGTGACGCTGAATCACAGCTTTCTTCCTCTGAGCAGCTATTTCCTGGTATTGTCCAGGAGGACCTGCCTGACCCACATATCAGGAGTGCAGCTGCCTCCGCCCTCTTGAAGCAGCACCTCCCACCACTTTCTACCTCTCAACCTCTGCTGCCTCACCTTAGCCCAGATTAGACGCCTCATCTAACTTTTGGAACTTTGTCCCCTGGCTGCTCTGTGGATGAGCTAAGAGTGGCAGGTGCTTTGTTTTCCTCCCCCCACCCCCCGTTCTGAATGCCAAAGTGGGAGCGGCTTTAGCAGCAGGGAACTGAACCTGTCATCCCACTGATGAGCACACCCAGGCCCACCTGTGCAGATAGACCCTGCCCCAGATGCTGCAGATAATCTTGTAGAACTGGTATTGCAGGGCAGAGGCCAGGGCGGCTGCACAGTGCTGGGTGGGTGTGACTTGTCTTTGAGAGCTTGATGGTTTGGTGAGCAGTGGCACAGCAGCATGATCCCCACCCCTACCCATGTGTGTGTGCGTGTGCATGTGCGGGTGTGAACAGAAATGCCCTAAGTCACTCCAAAAGCCTCATAACGTCAGTCGCTAGATGAGACCTCAAAAAGCAGCTCAGCCAAGCCTTTGGTGAGTGTACATTCACCCAGATGACTGGTTAGATTCAAAGGCCCCAAGCACCTGTCTTTAAGGGGTGGAGTGGAATGCCTGTGTGCGGCCTCACAGGGTGCTGCTCTTTGACTCCTGTGACACTTTCTGTCTGCACTGGCACTTGGGCAGGAGGTGCAGTTGGGATCATGGTTGTCACATGCGTGGCCCAGTCTGGCAGGAGTGGAAGATGAGTCAGGAGGGTAGCATGCCCCTGGGTCATGCAGAACTTTGGAGGCCATGTGAGCAGCTTCTGCCCAGCTCAGTCAGCAGATGGCAGAGCCTGAAGCTTGGAGAGGAGGTGGCTTCAGCCCTGTAGGCTTCAGCCCAGTGTGAAGGTTGCAGCAGAGCGTTGGAGGCAGGGAGACCTGTAAGGTCAGGCTGGGAGACCCAGAGGGTCTGAACTATGGTGGTCAAAGGAAGGGGAAAGGAGGACGAGAGACAGGCCCAAGAAGCAATGAGCATGGCAAAGGTGGGGCTCAGCATATTGGGAGCCAAGGTACCCACAGAGGACGGCAGGGTCTGGCCTTGGCTGCCCGGGCCCTATAGACTCAAGTCCATTTCACGTAGGAGGTATAATGGGTCTCATTGTGGCAAAGCGACAGTCCCAGAATCCATAGTATTCATTCATTCTTACCTTGTTCTAGTCCACATTTCAAGGGGCTTAAGCCAGTGAAGAAACTAAAACAGCAGGATATCAAGTTGTTCGAAAAGGAGGAAAGAAGAAAAAAGGACAGAGAAGCTAGAAGTGGGCCCCACATCAAGGGCTGAACTTTAGTGGAACTAAGTGGAAAAGTTAGCAATTAAGTGGAAAAGGGGAATTTGATCAGTGACATGAAATAAAAAGAAAAATTAGGGAAATAAATGAGTTGGGAGAAGCACAGCTACTGTTGCCATTACAGGTACAACTTCATCACAGGACACCAAGAGACATCATCGTTAATATCCTCGTCAATACGTGTAGGACACATGTGACACTAAGTCTTGTAATTTTTTTCCCGGTAGTGGCAAAGACTTTACTCCAAAATACAGCTCAGTAAAAGCAGTTCTCTAGGTGTGGCTACCCATGGTATGAGTTCCTGGCTCCCTGCTAGTCTGACCTCACTGAAGAACCCGTGTTAGACTGTGGGCCAGTGACTCTGCAGGAGGCGTTGTAGCATAAGCTTCGTTAATCACCTTTGAGTGATAAGGAGTCAAAATTACCCTGCAATATGGAATCCTTGTAGCTATCCTTCAGTGCCCTTTTCAATAAAGTGTTTATACCTTAAAGAGATTTTGTTGAAAAGAGGTTAACGTCAGTTATGAAGATAGAAAACACTGGAACCTCTGTTGGCTCTGCTTCTTGCCTAACCCTCCTCCCCTCCCAGCCAACTCTCTCCTCCCCCACCCCTTACTTTCTCTCCCCAGCTCCTTTCCTTCTTGGTTTTTCCCTCCCTTACTGTGATCACTATCTCCTATCTTTGAGGTTCCTCCAAAATATGGCCCTATGCCTGCCGTGGGGCCTTGGACATGCCGTATTCTCTTAGAATGCTGGTCTCCCAACTCCTGGTTGCGTTGCTTCTTTCTCCTGATTCTTTTTTTTTTTTTTTGGTGGAACTGGGGATTGAACTCAGATCCTTGCATTTGTCAGTCAAGCACTTATCCTACTGAGCCATCTCCCTGGCCCTCTCCTGTTTCTTTAGAGCTGGACTCAAACTCAGGACCTTGTGCTTACCAGGCAAGTGCTTGTGCCGCTGAGCTATACTCCTGGCCCCTCCTCCAGGTTTTAAATGTAGCTTTTCTTGATGCAACCATACTAGATTAGATTCTCCCCTTTCTGTGTTCCCATGGTATTTTGCGCTTCATCTTTCAACCCATAATATGATAATCATAATGTAATAATCTGTCCAAATGTTGACTTAACAACATGTATCACCCTCTGGACCATCATTTTTGTTATTTTTTACAACAAAATCTACTTTTTTTTTCCTTTTTGTGGAACTAGGGACTGAACTCAGGCCCTTGAGCTTGCCAGGGAAGCACTTATTCTACTGAGCCATCTCCCCGGCCCCCAAAATCTACTTTGGTGTCTGGTACATGGTGCACACTCAGTCAATAGATTCTTTAATAACTAATGGGTCAAACACACAAGGTTTAGGCATAGGAAAAGATGGAGACTTTCACACACAAAAATTGCTCTTTGGATTTATTTGTGCACAGAAGGGAATAAGACAGAAGGCCTTCCAGTGGCATCAGAATGGTCTATGTAGGAGGAAGCTCCATGGACACCTAGACTAAGATAAACCTAATGTAGGCACTGTTAGGGTCTTTTACTCTGATCATTAAGGGCCGGGAGATAGCTCAGTAGAATAAGTGCTTGCACGGCAAGCGTCAAGGTCCTGAGTTCAATACCCGGTATGACAAAAAAAAAAGTTACAGTCCTAGTTTGATCCTTCACATGGCCCCTTGGTGTCAAGTCTGTTTTTATTGGTACATATTATTTGTTAATTAATTAAGTTTATTGGTACATTCTAGGTATGCATAATGATCTTATTCAGCATAGGGAATCTGGACCTATACATGTGTATCCTGATTTTTTTTCCCTTCCCCTACCCTCCCTTCAACCCCTCATTCCCTCCTTATTTACAAAAATTTTGTTTGCATTTTTCCTTCTTTTCTCATTTTTTTTGATGTACACAATGACCACATTCATCATAGGGAATTTGTCCCTCCACATAATGTCTTGCTTTTTCTCCCATTTTCCTCTTCACCTTCCTTATCTGGTTACTTTTTTTTTTTTTTTTCGCAGTCCTAGGGATTGAACTCAGGACCCTGTGCTTATCAGTCAAGTGCTTATTCTACTGAGCTATCTCCCTGGGCCTTCACCTTCCTTATCTACGAAAGTGTGTTTCCATTTTTCCCTCTATTTTTGTTTTTTCTTGCCCCTTGTTTCCTTTCCTCTTAACCACTCCCTTGTTCCCCTTCTCTTTTTTTAATTTATTTTTTCCATAATTTTACTGAGAAACAAATAGCAATGAGACAGTTTCAAATCAAATTGGTAGGACAGTTTCAATAATTAACACATTGCATACTCTTTTCCTAGTGGTTATGTGCTGTACAAGATGCAGACATGATATCCTATTTACAAACACCATTAGAACAAATCCCTCTATTCATTAAGAGAATGTAACTATATATCTATCCTAACTACTTTGAATACACAGATACAAAATGGACATTCATCTGTATCCCCTCTTTTTGTTAAGTTCCGTAATTAGAATATTATAGGTGTGTAAACTCAGCAAAATATTCTAAAAGAGTCCAGTAGCCCATAATAGTATTGGGTCTTCCACTTAACTAGCAATGTCAGAAATTGTTGACCTGAGTCCCCTACAGCTCAACATAACAGCATGGCTTTACTTCTTATACTTCATTTTCACACTTTTCTGCTGGATGGTTAAGACCAAGAT